GAATAAACAAAATCAAAACGTTTATCAAGGACCTTAATGGGAATCCCGCAGCTTTCAACTGTGATTGGACGGGGGGTAATATTGGGCTGGTTTTCATTCCTTTTGGGCGGGGTTTGAGTCGGCTTTGGGCTGGAAATTTTTCTGGGACCTGGCAACCCTGACTGTTGTTTCCAATGGAATACTGCATTATCTACACCAGTCATTCCCAACATCGGGTGCGTGTACCCTAGGTGGGGTACGTGTGCAGGTTCCAGGGGGTACGCGATTTAGACTTTGCTTGGTTTGTTCTGCATTGGCAGAATAGGCATATGCCAGGAACATCGTCAATCGCACCAACATCACCTCAGCCTGGCGCATTAGTCGCTGCAAATGTGTCCATTTACAACGTGATTTTGCAGCGTTGAGTATTGTAGCCAATTACTGGCATGTCTGTTAAAAATTTATGTCCAATCAGAAGTGTTTAAGTTACTAGTTGTGAGAATCCGCCTAATATTCCTCAAAACACTGAATGAGTTTCTGTTTAGTGCCAGTTTAAGTTCTACATGCTGACGAACCTGACCCATTATAACAAACGAAGCGTAAATGCATCGTGAATTAGACATTTATTGTCCACAAATCAGTGAGCTTGCGCTAAACTGACTTACACAGTTTGTGTAATTCACTGGCAATTTATTACCAGTCAATTTAAGAACAGTTATTGGAGACTTTTTTATGAGACTTTGTGAGGCTACTTCAGTACAAAAAGTGACAAACTTTGATAAAACAAATTTTTTTTTGTCTAAATTTATAATGTCTAAATATAAATGTAAAAGCAAAACGAGGAAAAAAAAACAATATTAGGGAATGGAAATAAGTCTTCCTCTGTCGCCATCTACTGGTTATAGTGGTAATTCCATGTCTTTTTTATTTTTAAATAAGTGTTTGTTTTCCATCAAATGTTGTATTTAAAATATTAAAAATTAAAATGTGTATTTTGTCCAGTCTTTTTTACCCACAACATTGATTTGTTGGTTTAGTGTCAATGAAGGGGGCCTTATTGATGGGGTTGTGGGGGTACTTAAAGATCGAGTTTTTAATGTTGTTTATATGTCTATGTGGTGTTTTTAATATGCAGTCAGACAAACCATGTGCAAATTCATAAGTCAACACCATTGCTGAGTATTTTCTCTTTAAAACTGCAGTGAACCAAAGACAGACTCAAAAATGCGGTTTGAAATCGCTGGTGTTTCTGACGTCACAAACTTGTAACCAATCACGTCAACGTGCCGGCGGGCTTTAGCATATCATTAACTATGCTGTGAAGCAGGAGAGGCTCAAAAGAACCCAGGTTATACTGGTGTATTTAGCTACACATTATTAGCTGTTTGATAATGTCAAGCAAAAGGCTAATCATATTATTACCGTTAAGTGTCCGACGTTGTACCATTGTGCAGTGTTTACCTCAGTGAGTGGAGGCGGGGCTAATTAGCATATTCATGGCTCCGCGGATAGTAAATGAGCAAGAGTGTAGTTACATTGAAGCTATTATTACAGGGAAAAAAAACTTTAAAAATGTAATTTGGGTGATCAACTATTAATTTCAAGGGATAAAAGTATTGAATACAGAGCAAACTATAAACTATAGAGTTCTTCAGTCACTGTAATTTACAAATTATTGTTTAATTAGCTTGTAAAGAGTTAGATCATGTTCTTTTATGCTTTGTATAACCCTAACTGATGTTTAATGTATTTGTAAAAATTTTAAGGAACACTTTATATTACATGTAATGTAATTAATGTCCAAGAAAGGATGGTTTAAATCACTTAATTAATGACATTTTCTGATTTTCTGTGACCTAATCTAAAGTGAGAAAGTTATATTTACTCATAATAACCATTAACAGCCTTTACTACTGGATTAAAAAACTGTACATCACATACGTTGTTAACAAAGCATTTAAAAAACAACTCTTTACATATGAGCTAATTAAACAATATTTATCCTATCCATATAGTTGCTATATTATAAACAAAGACTATAATTAACTATAAACTAATGGTTTGCAAATGATTTGTAAGTACTTTATTACTGTATACCTATTATAAAGTGTTAAAAAAATATGCATTCAGCAAATATTAATCAAATAAAATTATTTAGCATTTTTAAATTCAGTTTTATGTAAATACTGTATGTCTGAACTCTTTAGTCTGATCAAGTCATGCAGAGATGTTAAAAATCACACCTTAAATTACTCTCGATTGACTCATCACATTGGAATACTGTAAGGTTAAATAAGGAAGTCTATAATAATATTGTGATATTCATTGTCATTGTCCATAAGTACACAACATAAAATATTTGATTCTCTCAAAACACACGGCTACTTTCCAAAGGACGTCAATGTAGAAACATGCTATAACTGTATGTTTGAATATTGCATGTTTCATTGTGGTATAAAGTACTCTACACTGCATAATTTGACGATGTCATACAGGTATTTCATATGCAGAAAATTTGGTAACACTTTACAATAAGGTCCCATTAGTTAACAATAGGTCATGGGCGTATAGCTTGACATCTGGGCTTTTGCTTTGGTCATTCACCATTTTTATCACATTTGAGCTTTTCTACATAGCTTATATATGGTCAAATTTAAGTTGTTTTAACCAGATGCATCACTTGTACATTACTTGTAAGGGCTATGTATATATATAAATTATTTTTATTCTTTATTAAGCAAATAAAGGAGTGAAAAATTACTCACCCTCTGCTTTAAAACAGACATCCGTTTGGCTGTTATCTTCCAAAATGCAGATTAATCACAGCATAACTGTTATTAAATTATTTTTTGAAAAAACAACCACTTAAAAAGACATACAATATATGCATATTTACTATCAAGTTGAAAATATATATTTGTAAAACTATATCGTAGTATCTTCCAGTCGCAACTCGCAAGCTACGCTCATGCATTAGGTATGCATTAACTAACCTTATCAATACAGTTTGTATACAGTACATTTGCTACAGTATGTATTAATCTTATAGCAGAAGTTATAGCATAAATACAAAAATGCATTCATTGTTAGTTCATGTCAGCTCAGGTCAATTATGAATATTAACAGATACAACTTTTAATTTGAATAATGTATTAGTAAATGTTGAAATTAACCTTGACTAAAATTGTTAAAAGCTTTAGAAATATTTGAATTGTCAGTTTATTGTCAACAAATGTAACCTTATTGTAAAGTGTTATGGAAAATGCACATGAATGCTGTAAAAATAGAAGTATAGCAGTTCAACCATAAAGATATTCAATCTTGCCTCAGTGTTTTATTGATTTCTTTTTCTTCTAATCTCTGACCATTTTGACTCTTTTGTAGTTCCAAAGGACGTCATCCTCCCTTAGCATCATCAAGGTTTAACCAAGGCATCATCAGGAACCCTGGTCTGTCATCAGACCCGTCAGCGGACATCAGCTCATCTTCTGATATTCAAGACGAGCATTAAAGGCAATATTAAAGTAAACCTCTCAGCTCCCTCAGCCAAATCGGGAATTGTAAGGTAGTGTACGGGTATTCAGTATACTCCAATAAAGAACAATGTCCTGGACAATGAGCATACCTCTTTACCCATTACATAAACTATAATCACAGGAGGAGCTATTGGTGCTATGAATATGATTGTGGAGTTCAAACACTGGCAGCCAGACATACAGCGGTTTAGAGGTGTGTATATGGATTTGTTGCGTGAATGTGTTTCATTGAAAGAGGATGAACAATAATAATAAATGTGGCATTTCTTATTGATACATGTAAATTATTACAATAAATTCATCGTCAGCCACAAAAGTGGCCTTATATTATGCATTAATAATTTCTAACCACAGTGAACTGTATATCAATGGCTTGTTTGTGCTTTAATGAAGTATTAGCACTGTGTTATTAAATGTTTCAGACCCTCGTAGAGTTGATTGTTCAACAGAGGGGTTTACATAAGAACCAGTCCACCTGTGTTTATAGAAATGGTTTGGTGTGTGGCATTTCTATACCAAACTAGTAACGTTTCTATTAGTAGAATATGCATATGTCTACCCTGATATTGTAATGTGTTAAAAAAAAAACTCTTTTTTTTCTTCTTTGTTCACTAAGTGAGAAGTTTTGATGAAGTTATATACAGTAAATTAGCTACACATCGCTGTAGTTTTGGGCAATAGATAAAGAATGTAGTTTAAATACTGTATTTCACTGCAAAGGTTAGAAGAGAAGTTTATTAATATTCTTATTCTCAATCCTACTTTCCAATAAACGGAAAATGGAAAAACCATGAGTTTTGTCTGTTGGTTCTTATAGAGGCGGACATTTCACATTATATTAAATCATATATATATATATATATATATATATATATATATATATATATATATACGAAGTATATATAGGCATACAGATAGATAGATAGAATATACATATATTTAGTATATTATATTCTAATATTTATTAATATTAGCTAGTATTTAAAATTGTAACTACAATATTAATTATATTTCTGACAGATAGATAGATAGATAGATAGTGGATAGATAGATAGATAGATAGATAGATAGATAGATAGATAGATAGATAGATAGATAGATAGATAGATAGATAGATAGATAGATAGATAGGCAGGCCTTCTGTAGATAAATAGATAGATAGATAGATAGATAGATAGATAGATAGATAGATAGATAGATAGATAGATAGATAGATAGATAGATAGATAGATAGATAGATAGATAGATAGATAGATAGATAGGCAGGCCTTCTGTAGATAGATAGATAGATAGATAGATAGATAGATAGATAGATAGATAGATAGATAGATAGATAGATAGATAGATAGATAGATAGATAGATAGATAGATAGATAGATAGATAGATAGATAGATAGATAGACAGACAGATAGCGCTGCTGTACTCTGGTCTTCCAGTAGATGCCGCGGTTTCTCTGTTTCACACTGAACTCTTTCAATCACTTCCTGTGCTGCACATTCCCATCACAACACCAGCAGCAGCAATGAAACTTGCACACTTTCACTTCTTCAACTCATGGAGACAGTTCACAGGGATAACAGTTGACGTGGACGAATAATTCCTCATGGAGAGACGTTGATGTTCCCGCTGCTGGCTGTCCAGTGGTTATAAACACTGGACTTTTATTGTATGTTCTCTTTTTGGGCTAGCTAGTCATGCTAGTTAGCATTCGACTGGTATCAGGATAAACACAAATTACATCCAAAATATCCAAATTTTTTCATCGATGTGGATTAAAATCAGGCTACAGACGTCAGCCTTGCGATGTGAGGGTCATATAATCGTAAATTACAGTGTTTCTACTGTCCTGTCTGTGTATTATGTATGTAGTTTAATTTTAGCTCAAGCTAACATAAATAATAACAAGAGTTTCAGTTGTTTGGCTGTTTGAATATGATTTTTGGGGATACATACGTGATAAAACGTGTTTAATTCGGGGTTTATGAGGGAATTGAGGAACTCTTTGTTCGGGGGAGGAAGAGAAAAATGAGGAAGAGGAAGGTGATGGTGATGAAGACCAGCTCAACAGGGAACTGCTGATTATTAACAGACACATTAAGAAAAATGCCCAGAAGAAAACAGTCCAACCCACAGCCTGTCAAATGTAAGTCTGGACTTCTATCTCACTTGATTTCACCTTAATTCACAGTTTGACTATATTTTTCTGTTATTTCTTGAAAATAATGCCTGATTTTCATTTATTTTACTGTTGAAATCAGTGTGATTGTGATTATTTCTGTTGATAATAATCAACAAGAGCATAAAAATGTTTTGTGTGTATTTATATTTCTTTGAAACTATAACTATTCACATGGCCAACCATGACTTAGTCTACAATAAATTGACTATTTGACCATAATGCTTTGTAATCTCATAATGTAGGTTTCATTACATTATAATTGTAATTTTCTAATATTGACGCACATTTAGACTTAATAGCCTAATGTAATGTCAGATCAGAATGTGTTTATGAAACACTTTTGTTGTAGATATGTTTTGTCATTGAGTCGCATGTCCTTGCTTTCTATATTTATTTATTTTACTCTGGTTTGCCTTTTTGTCCACTGTACTTTCGCTCTTGTTAACTTGCTTTTTCAGTACTTTCTGTTGAAATAGCCTAAGTGTTCATTTTCATTTCTTTCTAAATGAATATACACAAGTTTAACCTTGAGCACGTCTTTCCTTTTGCTGTGTCCGTTAAGAAAACCCAGCTCTTTTTAGTTCCTCTCGAGCTTTAAATGAGATGCCTTGACTGAGTGAGCAGAATCCAGCCTATTTCCAAAAGCTCTTGTTTATTAATGGTTTACGTGTCTTTAAGAATCAGCCAAGCTCGGTTCTATCTCGGTGAAAACATATCGGCTTCCCCTTCTTCTGTCGTCATTCTTTCCTTACTCCGTTTCTTCTGGACAGACCCCCTGTTCCTGCTGCGGGACTCGGGCTTGACCCATCTCTGACCCGTTCCCTCTGTTTATCTAGTGTCTCTTCACTGTTCCTTCCTCCTTTATTCATTTCTATCATATTTTTTCCTCTATCCAGAGCTAGTGTTGTTAACCATCAGTCTTGACACTCTTATCATTGGCTGATCCCCTTTAATATGACTGAAAATAATTATCAGACAAACGCATCTGAGATGTCCCCTAGAATGCTATATTTATAGTTAGTCAGATTTTTATTTAAATTCAGTGTGCAAGTGCCAATGCCGAAATCAAAAGATGGCCGAATAAAAACTGCTGCTAAATGACGTACAATATAATGGTATTATACACAACATTTACTCTGAAAGTCTGAAAAATCCACTAAAACTTTAAGGAACCAAATGTGTGCCATGCATTGACACTTTGCTAGTAGATTTAGTGGACTATGACACAGGAGTCATCCAAGTGGACATGGTTATTTTCCCAATACTGAGAATCTCAAAATGAATACTTTCTTTTTAGTTTCATGTTTAAGAGTGATGTGATTATCAGATTGATTCCAGCATGGTAAAGACGTAGGCTATAACTGTATTTTGGCACAGGCTGTGATGGTGTACTGTTTTTTTTTTTGCAGTGGGAGCTGAAGATGGTGCAGCGGTTTGCAATCAGGAAAACCTCGTCCTGGAGAGTGACTTCCTCCTCGGACAGGAGCTCGGCTTTGGAGAAAATGACTACAGGATTGTTGGTTTTGAGAGGGACTCAGGTCAGTGACGTACATGAATTATTTGAATTCAGCTTAAATTACAGTATTTTGCTGTTCTATTCCATAGTTCAGCCAAGCATTTGCCAGATTAAAGGGTTAGTTCACCCAAAAATGTAAATTGTCATCATTTACTCACCCTCAATTTGTTCCAAACCTGAATGAATTTCTTTCTTCTGCTGAACACGAAGATATTTTGAAGAATGTCGGTAACCAAACAGTTGATGGACCTCCATCAATGGGGTCTTTCAACTGTTTGATTACCGTCATTCTTCAAAATATCTTCTTTCAAATCTGTGTTGGCACTGCTGACCCAGAGAGAGCAGTTATTATCATGTATGGGTATGAAACAGCTTCACAAGCAGTCTTTTAAAACACACATTGTTATTTCTGTGTTACAAATATTCATATTATCACAGAAGTACTGGTATAAAAGTTTATAGTTCAGATAAAAGCACGGATAGCGATCTAAATAGAGCAAATCAACTTTTGAAATTAACTTGGCGCTTCAAATAACGATTACATATACCGTTGAAAACATGTATTTGTCATTGAATCATTTATTCAAGAGATTCGTTCAAAAACGCTGATTCATCCAGTAATGAAACAAGTGAAGAGTCATTGAATCATTCTTTCTTAACGCTGTTATGAATTCAGATTAATTAAGCTTTTCAAATAGACTGCAGCAATTAACATTTTATCAGAACCTCTAGTAAATTACATGTTATTTTGTTTAGTTGTCTGTTCAGAATCGTATTTGATGATCTGTATTTGAAAAAACAAAACAAAAGCAGCTCTACTGTAATTTTGTTATGAATAAACACCTCATAAAATGAATTATTGCAGCTTATAGTTCATCTCAGGTCATCTATATACTAGTGTTCTGTATTTTGCTATACTATTCTATACTTTATTCCAAACTAAATTGTAAAAATGTTTTTATTATTATTATTAAATAATTAATTTAATATTTTATTATTATTACATTATATTTAGTGCTGGGCAACGATTAATCGCATCCAAAATAAAGGTTTGTGTTTACATAATATATGTGTGTGTACTGTGTATAATTATTTTGTATATATAAATACACACACATGCATGTATATATATTTAAGAAATATTTGCTTGTATATACTATATATTTATACATAATTTATATTATATATAAATATTTTATATATAAATTTTTTTTTCTTAAATATATACATGCATGTGAGCATATTTATATATACAAAATAATTATACACAGTACACACACATGTATTATGTTAACACAAACTTTTATTTTGGATGCGATTAATCGTTGCCCAGCACTAATTATGTTATATTATTAATATATCTTTTAAAGCATGAAACCTTTGATATGTTTTGCCTCAACTTCCCATGTAAAGAAAACACTTTTAAAACAGAAAAGCACTGCATAACACAGCATCTTGTGATCTCCCGACAGACTCCGTCACTGCTGACATGGGAATGCCGGTGTACGGCTTCAGCGATGAGGACTGCTCCAGCTACAACCGTCTCGGCATCGAGAGCGACTTCGAGGACCCGCGAGACACGGAGAGCGAGCGGGAGGAGATGGGCCCCGACGCCACGTTCACACCGTACCTCTCCTGCAGGCAGTGCGGGCAGCTGCTCGCCGACCCCCTGAGCGGGACGCTGGACCTCGCCCTGCACTGCCTCCAGTGCGGAGCCGAGGGGGGAGACGCCGACCGCCAGGACAGGCCGTTAGAGGAGGCCCACCCGGCCCACAGCGCGCAGGGGAGGATCCACCGGGGCAGATCCACGGCCGATGAAAGCGCGAGTAAAACATACGCGTGCAAACTGTGCAGTTTCAGCTCCCGTTACTCTAATCACTTGAAGCGGCACATGAAAACACACAACGGGGAGAAGCCGTACCAGTGCCAGCACTGCTCGTACGCCTCCGCCCAGCTGGTGAACCTGCAGAGACACGTGCGCACACACACGGGCGAGAAGCCGTACAAATGCGAGTTCTGCACGTTCGCGTGCAACTCTCTGGGCAACCTGAAGAGACACCAGCGCATGCACACGCAGGAGAAAGAGCTCAACTGCGGCGAGTGCGAGTTCCGTGGGAACAACAGCCACTCTTTAAAGAAACACATGATGAGCCACAAGGAGGACAAATCTACAGCCTTAACGGAAGGTATTTGTTTAATCCACCACGTTGTTTTTACTTCTGAATGCTCCTGCTGTTATTGTGAATGATTCGTCAGTGCACACGTTAGGGCTGCATGAATAATCGAAGTAAAACCGAAATTGTGATAACAATTTTCACCTGAGATTTGAAGCCAAATTACAGGGGAGTAAAAATGACTTTAAAAAGATGGCAGCATCATTATTTTATTTGTATATGGAGATTGGTAGGTAGGTAAAATCTGTTTACTTTAGCAATCTTTGTCGCATTATATGCCAACGGTGACAGTTCAAAAATGGGGAAAAGCACTTCTAAGATTTAAATAAATCTGAATACCCCCCGTCCTCCACAAAATAGTGGATACATTTAATATTTTGGCTTTCATCACTATTTATGTTTGTCTTTCTTCAGAAAAAATATTAACAAAATTAAACATTTAAAATATATGATAATAATAATGTTATGTTTGAGTTTAATATTATTTTTAATATTTATTGATATACAATCACATACTTTAAGAGACAAATTTTGCAGCCCTATAAACAAGCACTGCAAACCTGGAGCTTTTTTTAAATCATCTTTTAAAATGACAATTTTTATTTTATCAGAAAATTTGCTCTTACCCAAATTTGAGTTCGAGTCCCAGCTTTTGGTCCTTTCCTGATCCTGTTCCCCTCTCACTTTTACTGACCTTTTATAATACATGTATAAATGCCAAAAATATAACAAAATACTATAATAATGTTAAATAAGGACAGACGTGAACAAAAAGCGTTAGCACTGGCATATGTGGAGATTCTCTGGAGGATGAAACGGACTCTCAGTCCCGGTTCAAAACCTACACAAAAGTGTGTTCCAGGAAGCAGAACAGATCCCCACAATCCACTGCAAACTCATGTTCAGATCTGATTTGAAACACACTTTTCCTGTCAATTCCTGATAGATCAAAAGATCAAAATATTTTTTCTTATTTCCCTCACAGATGTGTCATATTACAGAAGTAAAATGGGTTATGAATGCCATTTCTTGTTAACTCCAACTACTCATTTATTTGCCTTTATTCGATCAGCAGTACGTAACAGGAATACAGATTCCTTGAGGAAACATCTCTGCTAGTCTGACAGCTTTTGAGTGTTTCAAAGTGAACAAAGAAGCACCTGTTCCCTCCAAAACGGCAGGTTTCTTGCTGGTGTATTTCCACTTGCTTACGATACTTTGCACTTTGAGCACTTCATGCTGCAAGATAAAAGAGGAAGTGGAGTGTGAAGTAAAGGGAAGTAGAAAGTGTTGGGTTCCTAAAACTGGGTTCGCTCAAAAGAGGAAAATAGCCCTTCAGCTTTTTTGTTTGTTTTTCCTTGTCTTTCAGAGTCGGTGGTGTCTGACCTCACTCTGCACATCAGCAACGACTCCGACTTCCTCCAAAGCTACGACACCCTACGAACGGACCGCCATCCTCCCGCCCTGCTGCACACCGAGAGTTTGGCCAAAGAGTCGGACCCTCTTCCCGAGCTGCTATTCCCCTTCACGTGTCGCGTGTGCGGCGCGGTGCTAGAGGACGAGGAGGGCGCGACGGCGCAGATCTGCAGCAAATGCACATTAGACATGTTGTCCAAAAGCTCGCCCGCCAGCCCGGAGAAAGACGACAAGCTGTACTCGTGCACGTCGTGTCCGTTCGTCACACAGTACCCCAACCATCTCGCCCGCCACATGAAGACTCACAGCGGCGAGAAGCCGTACAAGTGCCCGCAGTGCAACTACGCGTCCGCCCACTTCGACAACCTCAAGCGGCACCACCGCGTACACACGGGCGAGAAGCCGTACAAATGCCACGCGTGCGACTACGCCTGCGGGAACTTGGCCAATCTCAAACGGCACGAGCGCATCCATTCGGGCGCCAAGCCGTTCCAGTGCAGCGTGTGCAGTTACAGCTGCAACCAGAGCATGAACCTGAAACGCCACATGCTGCGGCACACCGGCGAGAAGCCCTTTAAATGCCAGGAGTGCGGCTACACCACAGGACACTGGGACAATTACAAACGCCACCAGAAGAAGCACGGCCACTCCGCCGAAGGGTGGCTCAAGATGCAGCTACCGGAGAAAGAGGATGAGGACGAGGAAGGAGAAATGTAGCGGGATCTCTCTGTTGATGTCTAACCCCAGTTGCCTTATTTTTATCAGAGGAATCCGTGCGGTAACGCCGCGTCGCGACATGGCCGGTTTGATGTTTTTTGTTGTTGTTGTTTTTCACATGGAATTTGATTGTATTTTGTATTTGGTCCAACTGTTTACAGCAGCTGATCACAGAACCACGGGTTTGTTCTTTAAGACCGTCATCTCAAACTCAAAGGGCACATTTATGCACCACTGGGAGAATTTCACAAAAACAACAAAAGGACAAATAAGAAGTCATATTTTGGTAACACTTTACAATAAGGTCTCCATTTGTTTACATTAGTTAATGCATTATGAACTAACTCTACAAACAATATGTTTTTACAACATCTATTAACCTTTGTTGATGTTAGTTAATAAAAATATAATGTTCATGTGCATTAACTAATGTTAACAGATACCACTTTTGCGTATGCTGTATAAGTATTGTTTATCTTTAGTTTGTTTACTAATGTAATTAACTAATGTTAACAAATGAAACCTTATTGTAAAGTGTTACCCATATTTTGCATAAAGAAAATGAGGCCTGTTTCTTAGGACCATTACGATTTTTTTGCATTGTGAAAATATATTTTAGACTATTTGTTTATTATTATTTACATTTATTACATTTTTTAAATTTTTTTTTGTAATTTATTGTTTTTTTTGTAGTTACTGTAATGCAGTAAAAAAAAGAATTTAAAAATAAATTGGTGTAAATTTCAGCACAGCATAACATAGTTTTTTTCACATTACAGTAATGAGAAAGATTTTGTTTGTTTGCTGTCATGAAAATGTCAAAATGCAAAAAAATAAATCCTAAAACCAAACATTTTGTTTTATGCAAAATATAACTTCTTAATTTTTTCTTTTGAATTTGGGATCAAATATATTCTTGATGCGTTTTGTGAGATTCACTACAGAGCTCCTAAAGGGACATAATGAAAGAAAGAAATATGAGATGGGAGGGAAACTTATATTTCTATTCTTTTGCGTTGTCTTGCAAATGCTTTGCTTTCGCCCTGCAAAAATGTTTCCGTTCCCCCAAGAAAAGCAATGTTTCTCCGGAGAACGCAAAAAGTTTTGCAAGAGAAAGCAATATAATTTTTCCTCCCAATAAACATGTCCTTTTAGGGGGACCATGATTCATACCTCTGCTGTTTTGGATTCTAGTGGAATTGCTGAATGAAAGAACTGAAATAAAGCCAACGAGTCAGCAGCTGTAGTTGTTTCATGAGGGATTCGATGACACTGAAGATGTCTGGCTGCTACTGTATGTTCACTTATGCACAATGACAGTGATGTTGCCTTGTCTTGAGGAGGTGCTGCACCTCCTTCCCTCATTTACTGTACATGAATTTTCCGGGTGCCACTGCAAAATGCTGCACTGATCGGGGGTTTCCTCCGCCTCCAGCACACTCATAGTTTTTCCAGGGCATTAGAGGGACACGTATGAGTGAGTCTCACGAAAACTGTTCAGAAACGCTAGTGTCGTATTGAACCCCATACTCATCATAATAAAGGGAATGTTTTGCATGAAGAATACGAAGGTATTCTTTTTTTGCATTGTGACATTACTGTCCCCCTCTACAATGTTCATTACTGTAATATTAAAAAAAGTATATAAATTGTACAGTTATTGTATATATTGTGGTATTATATGTTCTATCCCTTTATTTTTATTACTGTATTACAGTAAGTGATTTTTTATTGCATTACAGAATAAATGATTAACTGTCTTGAAATTGTCACAATGCAAAAAAGAAAAGCATAATGGTCCTAAAATAGGCCTCATTTTCTTTATGCATTTTGTGTGTGTGAGTGTGTGTTGAAAATGACTCAATGCTTTCATGAGATTCACTATTATGTGGGTGTGTGTTAGTGGGTCTTTTGTTTGACTTTAAAATATTTCCTTCAGTTTTATTTAGATTAAAGTGTGATGCCTACTGTGAGATTTTCTCTTAAGGAAAGTAATCATGGAAACCTGTAAAGGTTTAATTTTTTCACACATTTAGTGGGAAAGACCCTGTTTTGCTTTTTTCTTTTGGTTGTGCAAACCAGTTCATGAGTAAGAAGGTGGGGACCACACATTAATCAACTCTTTATTGAAACACAGCGAACAAATCCCATTCAAAACAAGCATTTAAACATTTTGTACACAGTCACTTTGATACATATAGGATATTAATTGGTCCTCCCTTTTGTCCAATGTTGCTCTGTTACAGAACTGGCACAGTCACTGAAAAACACCGGAAGAGTGCAGTGCAATCAGGGAATTAGTGAAATAGAAGCACAGCACTGAAACCAATGACATTTGGTTTGCCATATAGTGTAATATGATTATTTATGTACTGTATTTTTGTGGGTTTCATTAGCTTTCTGATTTTTTGTACACAAATTGTTGGTCTGAAGAACTGTCAAGTGGCCTTTGGTTTCATAATAAAGATGTTTATTACATTTTATTAAAATAGCTGAGTTAAGACATTTGTAACAACAAATGGAACAACATTGGAGTTCCGAAGAATAAATATTTAGTACAACACTTAATTACTGTGCACTAATTTGATTGGACAAGCAGAATTGTAACAATGCTGATATTTTGTTTCAATCAGTGTATCACTTCACTAGTTTACATAGAATTTCAGCTTGTGATTCTGCAGCTTTTCTCAACAAATGCAAAACTGTTTGGAAAAGTAAACAGAATTGCTGGTCATATTATGCTGGATACTAGGGCTGGGTATTGACACACATTTCACGATTCGATATCGATTCACAAGCTTGCGATTCGATTCAATATCAATTAATTGGGGCCAATCAGGTACATGGAAAATATTCTCAAGGAAAAACATCTCTCAATGCTGTGTAAACTATACAGGAAACACCTGTTGGTAGCTTACATTACTATAAAATTAAAGGTTAAAATTAACTGATTGCTATAGGCTACTTACTTTAAAAATGAAATTTTTATACAAATATAATATAATTATACAAGTATAATAACTTTTTTTAATCACAATTATGTTTCTACTTGTCTTTTGAAATCTTAACATTTAAATGGTGTCTGTCATAAATGGCAGATTTATTCAAACATCCATTAAATATTGACGAATGCAAAGAATATACAATGTAGTTTAACAAAATGCTCCTCTAAAGTTCATTTTTCCAGCTGACTAACAAGTTTGTGGTCATTTTATGTTTTTTTTTTTTTTCTGGGGTAACATAAGCTGTTTTATTGACATCTGTCTATGGTTGAAACGCTGATTGATTGGGCGATTATATGACACACCATACCTCGTGTTCATTCATGTTTATTTCGTGCTGTAACTAGTAGTAAAGCGGAAGAGACGAACAGTTAGTACACAAGCTAACTAATACAGACATTAATGGTCATTATAACGTAGTTCAAACAGCATTTATCACGATTTTGTAGGATTTTTAAACAGGCGCGAAAGAGGGTACTGTCCTATTTTCGAGGAGGACCCGACAGCGGTAACAGCGATCTGTCACGCCATGGTTTCGGCCATTAAGAGCGCCAAAACGGTAATTATTGTTTCAATTTCATAATACAATTGAGGGGGGAAGAATGGGATTTTAGCTGTTTAGTTGTTTGCTGTTGGCATCTCTGCACTGATACTAAGTTGCTCTTTTGGTTCACATGGCCTTCAACCAAATAATGAGTCAGAAACACTTAACACTCACTCTATTTTTGTTGACTAGTAGGCACTAGGCAGTCGGCCACCAAAAGAGAACAGCTAAAGTTAAACCAATAAACCCTCATCCTCTCCTCCCGTATCTGTAACAAATCATTCAACCCCTAAACTGTATTAGTTATGTATTTTTCTTGTCCAGAAATATCACTTGTGTCATTCTTATATTTGTAATGCAATTTTTTGGGGAGATATGTATTTTTTATTATAGGTTACTAGGTTACTATATTCTATCTTTAATTTAATAATTTAATAATATAATTTAAGCACATTCTTCACATTATTTTACTTAATATACAAAATAACTCCATTACATGCAAAAACTCTCACACTGGGTGTCTCTTCTTGTGGGTAAAAAAAAAAAAAACATTTCATGACTCTACCACTAGATGGCCTTATGACTCTATACATGGAGCAAATTAACTGTTCCCCTGGGCTCAGTTGCTTCAGTATGCATTCAGGTACATATTTTAGACATTATAAAATCATTTTTGGTAATGTTTTAGCATTATTTGGGGGGGGGGGGATTTTTGAAGTGTTAGATTTTGTAATAATTCAAATTAATAAGGTGGACATCAGGAAAAAAATAAAAATAAAACCTTGAATAATATTTACTTGAAAATGCTGGTTTTTATTAAGAATATAAAAAAATATATATGTTACAGCTTAAAAAAATGCTGTTATAATTATAATAGACGAGACTTTTCTCCTCGACAATGGCAGCCACGCTACAAACATTTTGTTCATTCATCAACTTAAAGGGGTCATATAATGGTGCATGCACTTTTACAAGTTGATTGTACTGAAATGTGTGTTGGCAGTGTCTGTACACAACCATCATATAATGATAAAAATCCATCCAGTGATTTTGTTTTAATCTCCTTATATGTTTTCCCCTGCCTCAAATCCAGCCGTTCGAGCCTGTGACGCCACAACCTCGCACGCCCCTCCCACGATTGTTGATTGACAGGAGCGTTTCAACACAGAGCCGCCCTCGCTCATGAGGGAGCAGTCAATCATAGTCTGCGCGGACCGGCGCGGTCATTGTTGATATGCTGGAGCACTGTCTATGAGCAGAATGGCGTCTAAGCGATTGTGGTGTTCTGTTCTTGGGTGTAATAACGAACACAGCAGTCATTTTAATGTTCTTAAATCCGAACCGCTGAAGACGCAGTGGCTGAGTTTGTTTTCGAAGGGAATATTCCCCACGAGCAACGTCAATGCTTTCATGTTTGCGCGAATCATTTTTCAGCAGACTGCTTAGGGTCAGTATGAGCTGGTTTTATTAAGAAGCTGCTCCTGAAAAAAGGATCGGTACCAGCTATTCGTGTTCCTGCTGAACCTCTAGAAGAACTGAAGTGAGTGTAACGTTTTATTAAACTTTATATTAATATATTAATCTTTGCAAATCGCTAGCTGCACGCTTCACAATGAATGCGTCTAAGGTTTACACTTAGGGTACATTACGGCATGTTTTCTATGTATGACGTTCTCAATATAATTCATAATCCCACGTTTATACTGAACAACGCGTTATGGTTATTGTGTTATTGTGTTACAAACGGTGTATGCACAGAACAGAGAGGCGGAGTGAGCAA